CTCACACATACACGAACATTACCCCACAACACACATTATCCTCACATAAACACGAACATTACCCCCTAACACACATTATCCTCACACACACACATAAACATTCTCTCTCTCACACACACACACCCTTCCCTCTGTCAGGTGAATATTCTCTCTGTGACGGGCCGCGGAGGGTAAGGACTGAGCAGCTGTGAGCCTGTCTATGGGTATGGGTTGCTCGGTTTGGATGTAAGTGTGTTACTCTCCCCCACGGGGGCGACTGCCACACGTCCGACTCCTCCCCTCTCGGCCCCGACACGCGTCCGCTCTTTGTGAGTCTTCGCTGGCAGCCGGAGCTCTGCCAACTGGAGCCGTCAATCAGCATCAGCGGGGAGACACTGCGGCGGGAACCGAGGGAGGGCTGGTGTCTGGGAGGCAGCAGAACGCTGAGAAAAAAAAAGACAGCATCTTTTCCACAGCCTTCCTCCCTCCCCGGCCCGCCCGGGGCTTTTGTGAATGAAATTAACCCTCTGGCCATTTCAACACGAGCCCAAAACAACGGGGCAGGAGTCCTGATGAAAGGGAGTCACCTTCACATCCTCCCGCAATTCAACTCACCCCCGATATCACTCATAAAAATGACAACAACATTAATAAAAATAAATGCATAATTCACCAACTTTCCGCCCGTTGTGTATCTTTGTTAGAAGGTTAATGTTTAACCTTTCTGGAGGACTGCCACATTCATCATCAGCCGTGATTTGTGCTTTCTCTCTCGTTGTTAGATTTCCTCAGGTTAGTGGTGTCTTTGACACGATTTTATTTTGAAACATCGCAGGACAATCCCCCGCGTCTCTGCCACAGGTGAAGAAAAAAAAAGTTGTAACAAAAGCAGCAATTGCTGGAAAAAAAAACTCAGCAAGTCTGGCAGCAATTTCTGTTTTTGTTTTTTGATTTACAGCATCCACAGTTCTTTAAGGAAAAGTTGACGTTTCTGTCGGGGGTATGGGGTGTCGGTTCCACCTTCTAAACCCGCGATTGCCTTTAGTTTTCTATCAGAATTCTGAAGCGGCGTCCCTTTACACTTAAAACAAAAACAAAATCGATGTGGAAATCGTTAGCCTCGGCTGCGCTTATTTTGTTCCTGGGCAAATAAAACACGCTAAATGATCCTCCACTCAGCGAGCGCTCCTGCCAAAGGACAGAAAATACAGGGTGGGGGGAGGAATGGTGCATAAAAGATGTGGAGATGTGTCGTTTTTTGTCGTGCTGAATAACTGAATGGTGTAGGGAGTGTATCTCCTGGTTGTTTTGGCTGGGCCCGTTGCTGTTGACACGATTTTCTTTCATCTCCCTTTTGACCAGGAGATTGAAAAGCACACGAAAAGCACGCGAACGACTGGCTATTGTGGAGAGGATATTAGCATAAAGCTGCTGGACAAATTAAGATAATTGCACAGCAAATCCGAATCTTGCAGGGATTTATGCTGGGGCGAACGGGGCAGAAAAAAAAACAGAAATAAAACATTGGTTAGCTTAAACCAAAGCGTGCATTGTCCACTTGACGTTCATTAAACAGAGGACCGCTCTCATTGTTTTGATTAAATTCTTGACAATATTCAGGGGTCCCTCTCCTCTCTCAAGTCTAATAAAGATGGGACAAATATGAAATATTTCCAACTTGCGTCGTTCATGTCAGATGTTGACACATTTTAATCCACAGTGCTGTGTTTTATTCTGCTGAGTAAAAGTGTACCCAACCCTTACAACAGTAAGGACAATTAAACTTCAATTTAGTCCCCCCCCTACCCGGCAAAATTTAGCCGCAAGGAAGCAACCGACTTTCTAAAAAAAACTAGAAAGATGCTGAAGTGTTCACTTCATTTTATTCCTTCATGGGATGAGGGCATTGCTAGATGGACCAGCATTTATTGCCCATCTCTAATTGCCCAGGGAGCTCTTAAAAGTCAACCACTGTGCGTCTGGAGTCACATGTAATCAAGACCAGGTAAGAATGGCAGTTTCCTTCCCCACATTAGTGAACCATATGGGTATTTTCCCCAACAATCAATGCATCGTGTTAGGAATTTTAAAAATTCCAGATTTTTATTAAATTCAAATTTCACCAAATGCCCTGGCGGGATTTGAACCCACGTGCTCAGGACATTATCTGGGTCTCTGGATTAATAGGCTAGCAATAATATCTACCGATCATTGCCTCCCCGAAACAAAAACAGAAATTGCTGGAAAAACTTAGCAGGTCTGGCAGCATCTGTGGAGAGAAAGCAGAGTTAACGTTTCGGGTCCAGTGACCCTTTTTCAGAACTGATGGTGGCGTTTTAATTCTGACTTTTTAATTCGTAATGGGCAAAGTCTTGAAGGCAAAAATAAACCCCCATATTTTAAAGCCGGATTGAATTAAACCCGTTCAGTTACAGTGCGGACCATGTTCGCGCTGGGAAATCTGCCTCTTGGTTGGGACCGGATTTAAAAGTGGAAAGTCCTCCACTTTGGGTGTTTAGTTGATGGGAATATTAAATCTTCTGCACTGGCGCGTGTTCTTTGCAACTTCCAGTGACTGCCTTGTCTTTAAAATCAACACCCACCTCTCAACGCAATCTGCTCGGACAGTGTTCTCCCTGGAACAAAAACGTGGGGAATCCAAATTGGTTTAAAAACCGTGGGGGGGGGGGGGAACACTTTGAGAATTAATAGAGACAAATGCAGCCTAATCGGGCGACTTTTCATCACATCTCAGGTTTCCCGAGAAAACTCTGAGTTGAAACTTTATTTTCCTGTTCCATACCTTGGATGATGATTGATTACTTGTTGAGGTGGTTCGCTCCGTGCGTTTTGAACAAACATTGGACTTAAAATCTACACCGTCTTCGTGAAACGGTTTGTGCCGCGTGGGGATTTTTCTCTTTTTTTTGCTGTCCGTTTCTGGAGGGGGATTTTGGTTTTCTCCAGGGGCGTGACTGGCCAGAGACGATGCTAAAAACCTCGCTTGGATTGTGAGGCGGCTCCATTGCACACACACGGGCTCATTAACATACAGCTGCAGGTTGCTATGTGGCTTAAGGCTCCTTTTGGTAAAGTACACACCCGGACTTGCCTTATCACCACCAGCCGTGTGCACACAGCCCAGTGACACACACACACACACACACACACAGGGGAAAAAAACCCAGCCCACAGGCCGGAGAGCCACACACCGATTCCAGCAGGAAGACCTACATCTGCCAGAGGCCTTTCTACATTTATCACGAGAACAATCCGCTCAGCCGCCTGTGCGCTTCTAATATTTATCGATAAATGTACAAAATGTAACGGTGCTGGTTGATTACACATACACCTCCCATTTGAAAGCGAAACTTTTATTGCGTCGCGAATATTCTCTCTACCTAGTTCTGAGTAATGCCCAGGTGGGTTACCACCCCTCCCAGACTGTAAAGACGACCGGAGCCCGTTTTAAATGACATATTCCCGAAAAGGCAGTGCTATTTCGTCGTAAAAGTGGTGGAAACTGCAGATTTGTTTTTTTTTAAATAAGACAACATTGACATTTGGGAAATCTGAAACTGGCGGGATCCTTTTCGACCTGTTAATAAAATTCCACGTGTCACCTTGAACGAATCGTCCATCTCACAGGCGTTTTAGCTGAATGTTCATGCCAATGGGAAATGGGGTATCCCTTGTCCCACTTCAAGGTTCAGCAAGTGGTAAAAGGCAAAACATGGCGTGGGCTGGGAAATCATAACCACCACTGGATTTAAAAAAAGTTGTACAGGCAGCAGTTTTAAAATGTAAAACAACCGGGTTTTACACCGGCGGCTACTGTTAGGAAGGTCACACTGTGAAACGGATGGGGTTTTAATCAGTGACACCTGTTAGGTGAGTTTTAGGCTTCACTTTTTGTTCATTTACGGGATGTGTGCCCTCCCTGCCTAGGTCAGCATTTGCCCAGAGGACAGTCTAAGGGTCACCCACATTGCTGTGGGTCTGGAGTCACATTTAGGCCAGACCAGATAAGGATGGCATTTTCCTTCCCTGAAGGACATTAGTGAACAAGATGGAGTCTCCCCACAATGAACAACTGTTTCACGGTCATCATTAGGCTCAATTCCAGATTTTACCGAATTCAAATTCCACCATCTGCCAGGATACAGATCGATCCCCGTCACCAGAACACCACCCATGTCTCCGAATAAACAGAATTTAAAAACAGAAAAGTTGGAGAAACACAGTAGGTCTGGCAGCACTAGTGCAGAGTAAACAGAGACAGCGTTTCGAGTTAATTATCATTAACCGTTTCTCTCTCCACAGAGCTTCCCTACTTGTTGAGTTTCTCCTAACCTTCCTGTTTTGTTTCAGATTTCCAGCATCCGCAGCTTTTTTTTGTTTTTGGATTAATAATCTAGTGAAAGTACCATTAGCTCATTGCCAAGAGTAATACAACGTGAAAGAATAATCTTTGCATCATTAATTTTGCAAATGATCCACACGCCCTCCTTCAGGAGGAAATTTCCGCTGGACTGAGGTGACCCCAACAGGTCCTGTCGCCTGTTTGTTTTGGTTGTGTCTGTATCAGGTGCAACTTTCCGACCAGCTTCACACTGAATGCAGACGTCTAGAGCGCAAACATCGCACAAGGCTGACAAACACCTTGCATTCGAGGAAATGAACACCGCTTTATTTATTGTACACGTTTTAGAAAAGCTACACTCGAGTAAAACATTTTAAAAGGAAACGAAATCTTGTCAGAGAGAACTTTCACTTCCCCTCCGTCAGCCTGTTATAGTGCGCCATCTTCTGGCTAAGTGGATCAACAGCGTGACTCCAATAAATTGGACACTATTAAACATCAGCAAAGTTTTCAGGATTGAACAGACATTAAGACAAAGTAATTTGAGTGCAATATCACCCCCTCACCCCCCACCATTACCACTGTCGATATTTAAACAATACCAGGCCTTGCAAACATTGGGAGGTGGTAACGATTGTAGCTCAGGTAATTTAGGAGGGTTTTTTCTACCAACTTCTGGTAACCGTTCTTCGCAAACTGCTCCTCCAAATATGCCTTCGTATTTCCCGGCACCAGCAACTCTCCATCCGCTATCCGACGAATCAGCTCTTCAATAGGCTCGTCGACATTTACCTTTGCGGTGAAAGAGAAAACAATTTATGACGATGAAGCTCAAGAAGCACCCAATGTTCGCTGAACATTTTCACTGTGCTTATTTCAAACAAAAATAAATCATAATGGACCCTACAAACATTATTTCACGGCTTTGCTTCAGACAACTGGACCATATACTGAATGAAAATTCACACCTTCCTCAAAAGAATCGCAAAGGACAGGTCAAAACATGGTCAAAGTAAGGAATCATCTTTACTCAACTATCAGACAGATTCCAAAACCTTCATAGCTAATTAGCCACATGCACACAGATAGGTCCCACAAACAGAAAATGATGAATAAATATTAGCCAAAGCACACTCTCCCCCTTGAATCGGCACAAACACCACTTCCAGGCCACTTTCCAGTAGGTAGGTGACACAGAGCCTCAGAACCGAGAGAAAATAAACATTTATATTGTGCTTTTGGTGCCCTCAGCATGTTCCAAAGCACTTCATATCCTTTAAAAAATATTTTGTGTGACTATTGTTTTGAAAGGAAATGTGGATTTGAAGTACTGATGGGAGGTACCAACATCAGTGAGATAAGTTTAACTTACTTCCTGTTCAGGTAGGGGATGGTAAAATCATATCTAATATTGGACACTGTCAGTTTTATAGTGCGTTAATTGAGTACAGTCAGCACCTTGCTTATTGTGAATATCCAAGGAATGTGCTGTTTGATATAATCTCCTGGTCTTTGGGGCATACAACCCACATATCCAGCAGCATTGACATTTATTTATCATATGATCTATTGGTGTGACAGGAAGAATTTTTTGGCTTGATAACAGCATTTGTTTAATGGCACTACTATATGAGTTTTAGTACTAGTGTGAAGTGATTCTGTGACTGGGCAGCACTTGCTAAATCGCAAGTACACAAAAATTATGCTGACAACCAAATTAGAATTGTCCGCTGGGTTTCCAATACGTGATACAGGAAACTACATGAACTAATACATGGGGCTCTCTTTGCGAACAGAAAGAAATGTACACATACAACTGCCTGTTTCAACACAACAAAATAAGTGACAGTCATTCTATGTTTAATTTCTTAGGGTAATGCCTTGATCAATCAGAGTCAACCTGCCTGGTTTACAGTTTATGTACAGATTGCTAGGGAATCATAGAACATCATTTTGGATTTACACAGGGAAAAATCATGCTTGACAAATCTTGAATTCTTCCAGGATGTAACTATTGGAGTTGATCAGGGGAACCAGTGGATGTGATTTATTTGGACTTTCAGAAGGCTTTTTACAAAGTCCCACAGAAGAGATTAATGTGTAAAATTAAAGTTCATGAGTTTGGGGTTAGTGTAGTGAGACAGACAGAGAATTAGTTGGCAGACAGGAAACAAACAGTCGGAATAAATGGGTCCTTTTCTGAATGGCAGGCAGTGACTAGCGGGGCTATGACCCCAGCTATTCACAATATATGTTAATGATTTAGATGAGGGAACTAAATGTAATGTCTCAAAATTTGCAGATAACACAAAGCTGGGTGAAAGGGTGAGCTGTGAGGAGGATGCAGAGATGTTGCAGTGTTATTTTGGACAGGCTGAATGAGTGGACAAATGCATGACAGATGCAGTATAATGTGGATAAACATGAGGTTATCCACTTTGGTAGCAAAAATAGGAAGACAGATTATGATTTCATGGCTGTAAACTGAGAGAGGGCAATGTTTAACAGACCTGGGTATCCTCATTCACCAATCACTGAAAGTAAGTGTGCAGATGCAACAGACAGTAAATAAGGCAAATTATATGTTGGCCTTCATAGCAACAGGATTTGAGTACAGGAACAAGGATATCTTGTTGCAATTATACAGGGTTTGGTAAGGTCACGCCTGGAATATTGTGGATGTTCTTGCTAAACAGACAGTGCAGCAAAGGTTTACCAGATTGATTCCTGGGATGGCAGAACTTATATCTGAGGAGAGATTGAGTTGATTAGGATTGTGTTCACTCGAGTTTAGAAGAATGACAGGGCATCTCAATGAAACCATAAAATTCTAACAGGATTAGACACGTTAGATGCAGGAACATTTTCCTGGCAGTAAGGGATTCCAGAACCAGGGGTCATAGTATAAGGATAAGAGGTAAAACTTTTGGGACTGAGATGAGGTGCAGTTTCTTCACCCAGAGAGTGGTAAGCCTATGGAATTTACTACCACAGAAAGTGGTTGAGGCCAGAACACTGTGTTTTCAAGAAGGAGGGAAATATAATTCTTGAGGCTAAAGGGGTCAAGGGATATGGGAGAGGGTGGGATTAGGGCATTGAGCTTGATGATCAGCCATGAACATAGTGAATGGCACAGCAGGATCAAGGGGTCAACGGCCTACTCCTGCTTCTATATTTTTATAAAACCAGTGCATTCTCCACTAATCAAAGTCGACTTGCAAACCAATCTGCAATCTCCTGTCATACACTATATATCTTGTTTTCCCTTCACATTGATTTTTCTTGTAAGTTTTCTGATAGGTGGAAAAGTTTTGATAAAATGCCTCTTTTTTCAACAATATGCAAGTTCTTTACTATCAAACGACAACAAGGATTTCTTTTGAATTTTAACAAAATTTGCTTTCTTTATTTACAAAATGGCTAGCACCACAACATCATCCAATGACTTGGATGAGGAACAGATGGTTTATAATTACAGCAACATTTGGCATTGGATATCAAAAGGTGCAAAAATATCCTGACATTAAAGCAAATAAAATGCAAGATTTTTACTCTCAGAGAATTCAAAAGGGCTGAGTACTTCTCATAATGCGTGTGTGTGTGTTTATGGCAGCATCGGGCTACTTTGGAAGTCAGGCCAGGCTTCCTTGGAAAAGCTGAGTATGCTGCCAGTTCCTGAAGTGGGCTAGGTAGAAAGCCTGTGTCGGGTCTCCAGCACTGGCACAAAAAATTAAATTAAAACAATAAAACATACAGCATTCTGCCAGCCTTTACTATCCCAGGTGGCTAGCAACCATGCTGTTCACACAGGGATAAACAATCAGCAGACAGGAAACTATAAAGTAATATGTGCTGATTATTCTTCGCTTTCTCTTTTATTTTACTAAGTTCAGTCTCCAGACATTTCACTCTCCATAGATGCTATTGGACCTGCTGAGTATTTCCAGCAACTTCTGCTTTTAGTTTGGATTTCAGTAGTATTCCACAGTTCTTTTCTTTGGTATTGTGAAAGTATGTTTTCACTTTCAAAACAGTAACCATAAAAGAAAATGAGATACCTTGTTGGATTCTATTAACTGCCGCACTTCTTGTTTGAAGTCCATGAAACGATCATGATATATACACATGCACCAAGGCTCCCTTAGATAGCTGAAAAGAGAAAAATGTTTCATCACAGACTGCAATACTTTCTGGATACCATTGTATTTTAGCTTCAATCATTGATAACTGATTCTGTCACCATCATATTTTCTTCAAAAGTCTAGAATAGTCTGGTGAATCAACTGTTTGAGGGCATGTTCTGTATCAATAATTACTTTTAAATAAGATTTATTCAGAGGGAAAGAAAGCATTTCAAGCAGTAGTGAATTTTTTTTTTGGAAAGCTCTGTTTTATCAATTTGTAGATTCAGGGACCTGCATCCCATGAATGTACCCAATACATAGAATATATTACTCTCTGAATTCAGTTTGCACATCAGTGATTTTGATAGCTATTAACTTCAGTATGTTATCATGGAGAAAAATCTAACAGACTAACTAATATAATGTTGGCATTTATATTTTGATTTGATTTATTATTGTCACATGTACTGAGATACATTGAAAAGTATTGTTTTGTGTGCTAACCAGACAATTTATACTTTATGTAAGCACATAAGGGTAACAGAACTGAATGCAGAATATAGCATTACAGCTACAGAGATGGTGCAGAGAGACATCAACTCTGTTATATGAGGGGTCGGTTCTTAAGTCTGATAACAACAGGGAAGAAGTTGTTCTTAAATCTGTTTGTTTGTGTTTTCAAACATTTGTATCATCTGCCTGATGGAAGAGGGCAGAAGAGAGTATAATGGTGGGGGGGAGGGGGGGCATCTTTGATTATGTTGACTGCTTTCCTGAGGCAGTGGGAAGTGTAGATGCAGTCAATGGAAGGAAGGCTGATTTTCATGCTGGACTGGGCTGCTTTGACATAATTTCTGTAATTTCTTAGCGACTTGGGCAGAACAGTTACATACCAAGCTGTGATGCATTCGGTTAGGATGCTTTCTATGGTGCATCCATAAAAATTGATAAGAGTTCTAGTTACTGTTCAGTAATAATCCTTTTGGTTCCTTTTGGATTAGACATTGGAGTCGCTCTTAACCAAAAGGGATAGTAACATTTCACAAGTTGAAAGGTAAAAGTTTTCATTTCATTAGGAGTAGTCAGAACATTAAGACAGAAAACTACTTTAGATTAATCAAGAAATAAGGTGAAATATCAGCATAGTCTTCTGGAAAACATTTTGAACACCTTTGGAAATTAGAGATAAATTTCCAAAATTTCCCTTAAGTGGCCTAAACATTTTTCAATTCTATTTCTTTAATCTCTGCCAGGAGATTTCTTTCTTTATGAAGTTTTCACATGCTTTTATTATGATGGGGTAATAGCAAGTAACTACGTGCATTTGGAAGTTGCAATTGAAAAATAATTAGGGAGAAATATTTAACTTATTGAAGTCAAAAAATTAGTTATTAGAATTATAGGTACTCTGTGAAAATTAATTGATAAAAGTAATATTTTATTTTGTTAAAACCTTTATTTCTCAGTATTGCTTAATATTTTCAAAAGTTGTAGGCACGCTTAGATTCTTTTTTAATAATTTCTAAATGAAGTGAAACTTGTAGTAAACTGTAATCATGCTTATTCTTTGATGACAGTGGCATACAATAAAAATCAAAAGTAATCATTTATCTGAAATATTAATTAAATGTTAGGTTTTCTTTGGTTGTAAACTAATGTAACACCTGCCATATGAGTGAATGTATTTATTGAATAACTCATTCAATAATAAACATTAATCAGTCATAAATTGGACAGGTACCATGCCAAAATAAATTTTTTCAGTGGTTTCCAATCGAGAAAAGTGGCACTGGCTCAAAAAAATTACTTCCAATCCAAAAGTTAAATTAAAAATGTAAAGTTGCAATGGAAATAGAAGATTGTTCTTCCAGGCTCAAATTTCATTCCCTTTTATGGCTTTCTTAATGTATTTACCTCTCCATTTTTCTCTTGTCCTTTAAAACACTCGTAAGAAATCTACATTTTTGATTAAATCTATGGTCTCAAATTGTCATTGGTGGAACTTTCAACAGGATGAGGGATCAACCCAAACAGAGGTAAGCATGCTAATAATTTTGCATCACTTACAGCGTGCTGGTTTTTCACGTGGTTGCAGTGATATTGTGCAGACTTCGGGTATTATGTAGTGGCAACTGTCTTGAAAAGGTTGGGTCAACAATTGAGGGTTATAACAAGTCAGTTGAGAGTCTACTGAAAGGCAGGAAGTGATTTTGGAGGTAGTATGGGGTAACGTGCAAGGACACGATGTTATAAAGCGGAGGTTGACCACGCTCTAAGAACTAAAACTGGAACACCCAAAGAGGAGCACCTTGCCCCATAATCTGTAAAAGGAGTGTGAAAAGTGATGTAACTTGTCTTTTAGCAATTTCAACTGGTTAAACAAAATAAATCCCTGACACTCACTTTAAAATCAACAAGTAACAATTTATTCACCTACTTCTAACAGTGAACAAACTGAATAAATCCCTTCTGACTATTAACTATTCCCGAATAAGGCAAGATTCTAATGGTATGCTGTTCCAATAAATATAAGTCCCACTTATATTAAAAAAAAATTTAGTGTCTTGAAATTACAGCCGTGTCACGTGTCTTCCAGAAAGTTCTGTGCCTTCTCCATTGATTCTTCTGTCAGGAATGCCTTCTCCATCGATTCTTCTGTCAGGAAGTACTGGTTGTACTGTTGGTACCATTGTTATTTAGATGGTGCTTTCTCTAAGACATAGAGCAGGCTGTGAGAGCCAGCGATTCTCTCTTGAGAGCTGACGGCTGTTAGCTTTGATGGATGGCAGCTAGCTCTGGGGCTTTGTCCAACTGCCCCCTTCTTTTTATACGCTTGATGACATATCAATATTTCTTACAATAGGATTGGTCCTACGTTATCAAAACCATTAGAATTAAATTTAATAGGTTTTTGGTATCTAAGTACCTGGTTCAAATTGATTGGCTAAATTCAAACACCTGTTGTTTTGGTAAAAAAAACTGCTGCTTGGCGTGTTAATTGTATGGTCTTTTGATACAAACGTTTCAATTCAGGCACTCGCTGTGTACTTGCAAACTTTCAAGCTGCTGCTCATAGACATCCACTTGAAATCTCTAAGCACAGAAAAAGCACGTGATCTTTTAAAGGGATCATGCAATGCTCCCCCCGCCACCCACACCAGCATTTTACAAACACCAAATTCTAACTTCCTTCCTCTCAATCCATAAGTATTCTACCCAACTTTGCAACAACAACTATATTTATAAAGGGGAGGCAATATTGCAGCAGGGTGCTAACTGGGAAGGTGGGTGCATTTAATAGCGGTCTATTAAAAGTGGAAGGATCAGACATCTTCAAGCAGTGGCAAACCATGATATACTGTGCAGAGGTCACAGCTAGTTTGGTTTGTTGAACCTTGTTAGATGTGGGGGAGTGAACCTCCAGACGTTGGTGGAGCATAGGTGGGGGTCCAAATAGCCATTATAGCACCACTGGTAGCATGGAAGGTATTCCTGAACATCGGGCTGAGTTACACCGAGTTGGAGATGAATATAATGAGCAACAGGTGTTCCAATAGCAAATTCAGATCACTGGTCATGAGGTACACAGAGCTACAAGGAAGGCATAAATGTGATACATTTCAATATGGGGTATACTGACAAAGGATAGGCTTTCTGCATATGATAGAGCATTAGTGTCACTGGCTATTAAGGCTGCAGAATTATGAGTCCACATAGAGGAGCACATTATTTCTCACCTGTTGCTGGGGCACACCTTGCCAGTAGCTGTTAAAGTAGCAACAGTGTTGACATCTTTGCCCTTGGGTCGTTGCACGGGAATGGTAAAGGACCTGAATGACCTCTTGCAGTCTCAAATCACAGCATAATATTAGCCATATTTCAGATGGCACGGCCTTGTGTCGGACTCCTGAGGCTCTGAATTTCCATCCAGCTGAGCTTGGTGGTCTGATCTTCATCCTTAGAGGAGGACCTGCTTACAGGTGAGGTTGCCTCTGTCACATCTTCAAAGAAGTGTTGATTACCCTGTGCTGCCTGTTATAAACTTTGTGTGAGAGGTCCATTGCTGTGAGTGCTTATATGCTCGTGGAGGATATGCTTGACTATGTGCTGGTGCTGGCTTCTTCCTTTGTTGAAGATGACACCAACTTCACATTGTCATGAGCTGATTCCTCATCCACAAATGACCATGTGGTAAATATAAAAAGCTGGTTAATGAAAATTTGCATTTGTCAGCAGATGCTTCTCGAACTATATCAAGCCATTACAGGTTACATATTGACATGGAGGAAACTGAGGAACCTGGAGCACCATCTCCATCATCTGAACATCGGAAGATCACCTCCAGGTCATGGACTGACGACTCCTAGTTCACCATATCTAATTTTCTGATGTGCTCTCACCTTGGCAGCTTTATCCATAGATGTTGGAATAACTTGATAGGCACTTCACCACCTAAATGAACCCTTTTTCTGAATTTGTGAGATCACTTTCCCTGCAAGATCAAGAGCAAGACTGTCAAGACCATGAGCCTTCCTCCACAAGTGCTTGTGGTGGGAAATTTGCCAACTGCTCAGTAATATTCAGTGCATAAATATTGTCCATTATATAGGGCACTATGTGCCCTCATGCTGCTCAGCCTCTGGATGTGCTAGCGACTACAGAATTGGATGCCTTTTGTTTGGGTATTATGTTGCATTCACTTTTCCAGTCTGCAGAAGGTCACTCAAGCACTTGCAGTATTGTACCCACATATGCTGACAATGCTGCAGCTATTCACTTTAAGAGCAAACACTGGCAATGCCTGCTTACCTGGCTCACTGACCATTGCATGCTGCTCTCTGGAAATAGAACTCTCTGCCACGTAATAATCGCCTCTAAAAGTACCACTGGCTGCCATTGCATGAGAGTCTTCTCACTGATTCCTCTTTCTTCCATTCCAACATAAATGCCAACCATAATAATGGCTGCCATTTGACATTTAAAATGGGCTGTCACACCCAAATCCAGTTTCCTCTCCATGTCCAC